CATCTCGGGTCCCACTGTATACGAACCAAGAGAAAAATTCTCCAGCCCGGAAATTTCTTTTTTGAATGTCCACGAGTTTATAGGCGTCATCACGACGACGACTAAGCGTATCTTCCGCGTGATTCCCAACAGCACGCGTGTGTGGGAGATAAGCTGTTCTACGTAGACACAGGTCTCCGTGGTTCAATGAAACTGCGTGGTGTTGCCAACGACGGTTGAAGAGCTCAACTGAAGTGAACACGAGCTTCCGTGAGACCGGTGCTTCTCACGAGTTGGCATCAGCGAGGCGTACGGGCTCATGGCCCCATGCCTCGTCATACTAACGATCACCCGGTCGCACCGGCGCGAGAGTTTCCCGGCCTTACTTCATGCCTTATACAGGGAGGAAATCCAATTCTGAAGCTCTGTGTTGCCCCAAGGGTCGAAAACGCTGGGGGAAAATTTCTCTGCGCAATTTGCTCAAGTGACGCAGAATCTGTGAAAGTGTGTTCAATTTTTTATAATCTGTAGATGTGGTTGACTGTGATGCGCGTGGAAATGTGTCTCAAATGTCAAATCAGACGGTTTCTTATATATTAGACTGACAGCGTGGAAGGACTCAAGTCAGAAGAACATTTCTCTGAATTATATCGGAGATGATTTATTTTCTAAATTAAACGTGTGATGCATTTCCCCCCAAAGTTAAATTTTGATGAACGTCGGACAAATGGTGACCATACGAATTCCTAGGCACTAATAAGATCATTTTTCTTACCTTGAGCAGGCCACACGTTTTATAGGAAGAAAATTGGTCACATTTTGCACTCATCCATCACATAGTAACTCAAGTCCCGAAAGTAACGAAAATTCCAAATTAAAGTCCATCTGAATATTTGGTGTTCAATCTGCTTTAAGAATTAATATCAACTTAAATATTCTATTTGGTTCCTCCGTGGCAACTTTGATGGATTGTCCCGGGAATTACCTATTCAGCATTGAACATGGTTACTGCGATTTCCCGGAGAATGTGGATTGTGGAGACCGTGTGCCGAGGCCAAAATTGACGCTAATTCAGGATTTCATTTTTATCGTGAGGAATTAAGCGACGAAAACTCGGTCGTTTGACAGAACTAATTTTCTTCAATTAAGAAAAAATAGTCAGATGAAGAAGTATTCTTATTTAAATTTGTCATAGTTTATATGAACTTTAAAAAAGCTTAGTCATGCTGTTCAGCGAACGGTTTTTCCGTGATCGTGACGGTGAAGTTCAGCTCGATATAAGTTATGTAAGCAGAAAATAATTCCTGCATTTTTTCCTCAATACGGTCCTCCAGGACTTGACCGTGATTGTTCTATTTCTTCACAAACTGAATTGTCATTCCTGCAAACCAGTAGCAGGTGATTTTGTAAAATGTTTCAGCGATTGTTTTCGTGCAGACTGAAATATTGTATCTCTCGTCTGCTTTCCGTAAAGATTCAAAAATCGCAAGAATTGACTAGAATCTCGGCATTGAAAACTTTGTGACGAGAGAAACAATACGACGATATTCAAAGGATCTCCAACTTTTCGGATTTCCTTATTTCTATTCTTTTTTTGCAGTGTCCTTCGCCGGATGGCATTTTCCCGAATCCAGAAGACTGCGAAAGTTTTTTCATGTGTGCAAACTCTATTGCATTCATTGGAAATTGTCCACCAGATCAACAGTTCAATCCGATACAAAATGTGTGTGATTTTGAATTCAACGTCAAATGTGAAGAAACTTCTTCAGGACTCACATGTACGGTATTTTACTCTCGTAGAAAAATCAAATTTTCCGTTCGGAGACGGTTTAAAATAAGGGGCAAAAATCGGCATCATCATTCGTTGATTCGGATATTAGTGGAGATATTAATTTAGATTTAATTGAGGCCTTGAAAATTATTGGTTGGCCTGAATATAAGGAATTTGAGACTACCTGTCGTATAGTTGAATAATATTCGTATTCATCCGAAGTAAAGGAATTAGCAGAACTGATTTTATTGGAGGCAGGACCAAAAAAAAATTAGTGCAGGTGGACTCTCACCACAACGAAATTCAAGGAACCAGGATAAATTATTTTCGAAGGGAATTTCGTTGTAAAGAACCTTCTGAAATGGGACTGGGGAAAGAGCCCCTCGGGAGCTTAAAAAATTCGTTGTACAGAGAAAATCGTTGTAGACAAGTTCATTTTAAAGAAAATCCACCTGAAATAAATCAAAAGAAAACTTGAGCTAGTTCTGTTTCTTGTTTCCTAGTTGGGTTCAGCGGAAGTTTTCGGATTAATCTCGCGGAGGGAAAGAGTTTAGTTTATTATCTCCATCAACAAAAAAAAGTAAATTCCTTGGAGAACGCAATTATTGGAAAAATAATTGACACACATTTTTTAACCGGTTTTTTTTCTTTTCTTCAAGACGTGACACCGGAACCACCAGTGACCGCGGATCCGTCCTTCACTTGTCCATCGCCGACGGGGAATTTCCCGTACCCCGAGGATTGTCACTACTTTTACAAATGCGATGGAGGAAATGCTCAATTATTTTGGTGTGGCGAGGATAATTTCTTTGACACATCAATCAATTTTTGCAACACCGGGGACTGTTCCAAATATTTCCGTGTGCGGTTTTACTCGCTCTTTGTAATCGGGTTAGTTGCTCAATCTGTGTAGTGCTCCCTACCAAACTCTCTTAACAGCTAAGTCAATGAAATTTTAATACAAAAAAAGATTAATACGAAAAGTCCAAAGTTTAATACGGAATCAGAATCAGAGATGAGCACAAATACTTATTGCAAGTTTTTTGTTAATTTTTCGACGATTTTCTGCCATTTCAGCCCTGGTCTGGGTAAAAAAAAACTTTAAATTCTGCTGCAAAAAAAGTTCATAAGATCCTGCGAAATGTTCGATTAATTTTCAAAATTTGATAGATTTTTCAACTATCTTGTGACACTTGGGGCCCTTTCAAAGGTATAAAACATCCATTTTTGGCATGTAAAGTCATCAGCAATGGGATTTACTTCACCTCATGGTCTTTCCTCTATCTCAACTTTGATGAAGGGAAATTTACGAAGTTTTATTTAAACTAATGATTACTCTGATACTCTACTACTGTATAAGAAATTAAACCCATTCAGGAAGAGAAGGACGATATTGACAAAGCTCAATGTCCAGCCCTCGTATTCCGTGATCATCACTGGAAGATTTTGTCATGCTACATTATTTTATTGCGATTTTCAAAGATTTTTGTAATAAAAATCGCTGAACGATCGGAAGTATTTTTTCTTTATTTTTGGATGATCGCTGAAAATGCTGTAAAAGAGTTGTGGAAATATACGAGTACATCACTTCGTAACTTCGTCTATAATGCTGGAATTGAACCATGATTCCTGGTTATTTTGTTTTCAATCTGAACTTGTTTCCACTTGAAAACAATTGACAGCCAAACCTTCGCCAAAATTCGGGTAATATTGGCATAATTTAAAAAAATTTTGACGCAGGGAATTGAGTTTAACTTGTCTTGAATGGAGTCACGCAAGCTGTTACTCAGGCCAAAATATACGGTATGTCAGATTATCCTTATCATTCTATATTATAAGATTTATCCTTATTCCTTGCTTTGTGAGCTTTTTTTATGACTAAATATCAGATTCTATATAGTTTTCTTATGCGCGGTTGTTTTCTGTATCTTATTGAAGTCAAGGGAAACAATTTATTCCATTTTCTGGAATTTATTACCATTTTTTTGATAAATAAGAGAACCAATATAATACTGTATATTTGCACTGAAGTCTATAGGAAAATGATATCGCTGTGTGCCAATGATCTGACATAGAGACATGATCCAAGAACCCATTATGTCCACATCTCGGGTCCCACTGTATACGAACCAAGAGAAAAATTCTCCAGCCCGGAAATTTCTTTTTTGAATGTCCACGAGTTCATAGGCGTCATCACGACGACGACTAAGCGTATCTTCCGCGTGATTCCCAACAGCACGCGTGTGTGGGAGATAAGCTGTTCTACGTAGACACAGGTCTCCGTGGTTCAATGAAACTGCGTGGTGTTGCCAACGACGGTTGAAGAGCTCAACTGAAGTGAACACGAGCTTCCGTGAGACCGGTGCTTCTCACGAGTTGGCATCAGCGAGGCGTACGGGCTCATGGCCCCATGCCTCGTCATACTAACGATCACCCGGTCGCACCGGCGCGAGAGTTTCCCGGCCTTACTTCATGCCTTATACAGGGAGGAAATCCAATTCTGAAGCTCTGTGTTGCCCCAAGGGTCGAAAACGCTGGGGGAAAATTTCTCTGCGCAATTTGCTCAAGTGACGCAGAATCTGTGAAAGTGTGTTCAATTTTTTATAATCTGTAGATGTGGTTGACTGTGATGCGCGTGGAAATGTGTCTCAAATGTCAAATCAGACGGTTTCTTATATATTAGACTGACAGCGTGGAAGGACTCAAGTCAGAAGAACATTTCTCTGAATTATATCGGAGATGATTTATTTTCTAAATTAAACGTGTGATGCATTTCCCCCCAAAGTTAAATTTTGATGAACGTCGGACAAATGGTGACCATACGAATTCCTAGGCACTAATAAGATCATTTTTCTTACCTTGAGCAGGCCACACGTTTTATAGGAAGAAAATTGGTCACATTTTGCACTCATCCATCACATAGTAACTCAAGTCCCGAAAGTAACGAAAATTCCAAATTAAAGTCCATCTGAATATTTGGTGTTCAATCTGCTTTAAGAATTAATATCAACTTAAATATTCTATTTGGTTCCAGAATTATTAGCAACTTCATTGAAAACCAAATATTCACAAGAACATTCACGTAAATCCTCGACAATTTCGTTGATGTTTTAAAATTTGAGCATTTTATGTGAAAAATATTTAACTTCTGAAATCTTCAACCCAGACTGAAAGCCAAGTCCAGAAAATGAAGACGATAAAAAATTCAAGTCTGCTAGCATTTTTGGTGGCTTTCAATCTGGTTCAAGAATGGTACCCTGATTGAAAACCAAGCATATTGATATGATTCTACTATGACGTTTTCTTGAATTTCGGGATATAATTTTCAATCTGGTTGATGATTACATAATGTGACTGCTTTCAAACGTAACAAACACAACTTTTCAAACTTGTAATGGCCGGAAAGTCAATGAGATTGGCTGATTTTTCCAGCAATAAGTTATCGTGATGAAATTATTAATTTTCCCACGTGATGCTCTCGTGTGTTATACCAAAGATCGTATGTGTCGAATCATTTGAACTTTGACAACTTGATATCACCGGGTGGGCGAAGGTCGTGTAAACTTTAGGTCGTCGACTGATTACAATTGTACCGCATAGAATGAACGACTTGCAAGACATTTCATAAAATTGAGAAATATCAGCAAGAAAATGTGAAAAATGGCCAAAGCAGGTCAAATTCCAGGGCAAAGGTCAAATTGCAAGTTAACCTACCTGGAGATTTGACCGCCAAATATCAGGATGGTTGTATTGCAAGAGGTCAAATTCCAATGTACAACCTGTGCTAGGAATTACAGCAGTTGAACCTTGATAACTCAAACCACCTCAAGTAAAAAACCTCCCGATGTCAATTTTTATTTCAATTTCCTATCTGAATTCCCTTAGCAACAATACATCCAAAAATGTCCTCAATTTGTAGGCTTTCCACCTCAAACTTCCATACTCAAATTTTCAAGAGGCTTTTTTGCCATTATTTTATCAACACAAGAACTAGGAAAAACAACGTGTAATTTGATGACTTCTAGAAGGAAGTGAAAGGCACATGGGGGAAATACTGTAGAACCCTTGCCTCCAAGTTTTACCATCCTGCAAACTTATTTTAAGCAGAAATTTAAGGCTTACTACAAGTTCCTATCTGCATGTTTCCTCCCCACAAAAAATCTTGTTTCCCTAACTGAAAACCTTCTTAACTCGAATCTTTTTGCGGATCTCTAGAAGTTTAGTACAGTGTACCGTATAGTACAGTACGTTACCTTTCTTTTCCAGGCCACCGTTCTGGTTCCTTCCTGAACAAATTTGTGGACGCTTCTCCGTTCGCGTGAAGATGTCGCTAAAAGAGAGTATCAGTTGCGGCATCGTGTGGAGCTTAGCCGTGTTCTATGGCGCCGTAGCGCTTTTTGGAGTGGTGGTCGGATGGTTCAAGCACACCGTTTCATTCGTTCGTGTCAAGCCACGTCCACTGCCACCAGCGTGTCTCTTGGACGAATCTCTCGGACGGCATTCCTATGTTAAGCTGAGTGTGAGTCGTGGGATGACTATCGTGGGAAATTACGAATTGATGCTTATATATAGGTGAGGGGGTTCACTTTCGTCTTTCATGTGCCGTAGGAAGTTACCTTGCATTACGTGGAGAATGGAGACAGGAACAAACCGCTGATGCTTTGTTTGCACGGATTCCCGGAGTTCTGGTATTCGTGGCGTTATCAGTTGAAGGAATTCGCTTCTGATTATTGGTAAGAAAGTAGGGTTTTTAATTTGTTCGAATGTATAGGCTCCCCGATGAACGGTGCTCAAATAACAGCAGATGTGTTATGCGAGTATTTCTTGAAAAAGCAACAAGTTTCGCAATGATTTTCGGAAAATTCTGAAGCGTGCTTATTTTCTTGCAGAAAAATTTAGAAAAGCGTTTCTCTTCGAAACTAGGTGATTTTTAAAATTACATCATTTAATTCATCATTTTAAATGAAAATTATAGACAATTTTAAAATTAAAAATGCTGCTTGCAGTGTTGCCAATGCCAAGGAAAATATTTTGAAGTGCTGAAAAGATACGGAATCGGGAACTTGTTTAGAATCACTTTGAACAGCAACGTTCCGTTTTATTTCATTTTCAGCTTAATTGAATGGCTGAAAGCCCGTGGTCATTCGAGCGAATTATGGCTGCCTCCATATCTGTAAAATGTTTCTACTATAATAGAGTTCCTAATTACTGCCGATGAAGGAAAGTTATTCTTGCGGATCTTGCCTGTATTTCGTCTTTGAATTTTTTTTTTAAATTCCGCTGATTGTCCTTCAGGGTCGTGGCAGTTGATATGCGGGGTTACGGCGACTCAGACAAACCCGTTGAAAAATCCCAATATGCGCTCAAAAACCTCGTGGGAGACGTTAAAGAATTGATTACAGCTCTTGGTAAGTTGTTTGCATTTTGATGAGCGGCAACTTCGGGTGGGAACACGATTCAATGCGGGCTTATTCCAAGTCCAACATTAGACGCGTGAAATTGTTTTTGTGGTATAGTAATAAGCCTAGGCTGGCTCATTAGTTTCTTCTTTCAAAAATATCAGAAACGGTGCGTTTTTTGCAAGTTTTCATCGAAGCGTGATGCGTGGTTGCGAAACAAAAATTGATGATGATTAAAAAATATACTGTATTTCATTGTACTGTATATGCATTTAAAACTGTAATTGGCATTACTGTATTTCGGAGAGTGACGCTACTTATTTTCAACAAATTACTAGCCCTGAAAATCTGAAGATACTCAGCTATCGTATTTCATTGATTCCATCATGTCAAAACTGCGAATGTTCGAAAGTTCGCCGCATCCCTGTGTAAGGAATTCAATTATTGTACTTGAAATTTCTCAGTTTTTCAGCGAAAAAATCAAATGGCGCACCAGAATAATTATGGATCATTCTCAATTTCCCCTTGGATCAATCGCCTGATTTTTCGATGGTCAAAAATTTGCGCATATAGATTGGAAATATATTTTGGAAAATATCAGCACAATTGATTGATTTTAGCGCGTATATTTGATGGCAGTGGTCTCCTGATTGTTGAAAATTTCTGAGATCGCTTCACGATAAAATTGGAACTATTTTTCCTACAGAAGTTTTTTCATGACTCTAAAAAATCTTCGTTCATTTTGGGTAAGCTTTCGAGAAAAGTGTATTTTGAAGGCATCATAACTTCGAACCGACTTGTTTCTCTTTCGGATTCGAAGTTGGTCATGAAGGTTTTAATCATCGTCGCGGTTGATTTAACGTCGCATTCCAATCAAGTTAATAACACCTTTAACTATGCCCATGCTTCAGGTCGAGAAAAAGCTGACGTTTTGATGGCCCATGACTGGGGCGGAGCAATTGCTTAGTACAAGCGGCGGTTCAAGGGCCTGTACCAACCGTTTAATTAGTGGTACTTGACGGGTGTGGGTCTTCGTAAGTTTTTTCACTAGTTTAGTAGTTACTTCGTCAAGTTTTACAGAACCATGCATAGGAGCATTTAACCTCACATTGATGAGGTGTATAATGCATAACGGACCAGTAGCAGACAAGCGAAAAAAATCAAGAGCTAGTTTTTGTAGGCTTTTACTGTACTGTACTTCGTGATATAAGTCCGCAATCTGATCTATGATATTTTTTTTATGTTTTCCAGGTACATGTTTTTCTTTCAATTGCCTTACCTACCCGAGTTTTGCTTCAAGATCAGTGATTTTTCCGCACTTGATCGGATGTTCAAGCACCCTCAAAGACGAACAGAATCCATAATTTCTGCCGAAGACATGGACGCCTTCAAATATGTTTACTCCAGGCCTGGTAAGTCGTTCGTCAGCTTATTTTTACACCTGAGTAAGCTGGTGAAATTATTTTATTCAAGGAAGATTAGAATCTTATTGTTTCAAGACTGTTTGTCTTCGGAATATACTTCAAAACGCAAGTCTGATGCGTAAAATTATAAACATGTGGATTTGTCTCACATTCCGCTGAAAACCGCATGAAAAATTCGCACGTCGAAGCGAAGAAGAATGTGCGTCTGTCTCCCATTTATCCATGTACGAAGAAATTTATTATTATTACTTTTATCTCGGTTTCTAAGATGAATCACAAGTGGATGTACTGCATTTGTGAGGGTATAAATCCACGTAAAACAGTTCAAGCAAGGTCACAGAAAAGACAGCTACAGACCTCGGGTGATGACACATATTTCACCATAAAACACTTTTTTCACTGAACAGCATATCCAGGGAGTCCTGAGGATTTATGCTATTTTTGGCACGAGTGAAATTTCATGCTTATTTCAACGCAAAAAAGAATTCAAGGACATTCGCAGTATCTAGATCTAGATACTGTAGAAGATTGTGACCCAACTTTTTTGGGCCTGCAGACCAAAAGATTTCCATAAAATGTTTTGTGGATTTGGAAAATTTGCAAAAAAATTCTGCGGACTCGCAAAGTTTCATAAAATGGTTGCCAACTCAAAAAAGGTTGATGGAAAAACCTTGTGGCAGGTATTTAAAATGTTTCTGCTCTTTTGCAAAAATTATTAAGAACCGATGAAGCAGCTATAGTGGAATGTCTTCAAAAATGTAGAAAGGTGGGCTTGTCTGCTAAATTTAGAATGGTTTCTCTGAAGGAAAAAAAATTATTTCAGCAGCTGCAAATTTTTCTGATGTGTTATTGTGAGAAAAGGGTTGAAATGAAAATTCGTCTTTGAAAGTTGAAGCTAACAGGAAGGTTTTAATATCTATTCTTACTGTCTGAAGTAGCGATGAAAACTATTTAAATTATACGACTTCTTTTCAAGGACGTCTGACCGTTAAAAAAGTCTGCACACTCCCGCTGTTCCATGGACCATGGGATGGGGAACTTTGCTCTAGAAAAGTGTTTCCCTATAACTGTGGTCCACAGATTAGTGAAAATTTGCTGAGGTTTTCTGCTGTTCTGTGGGAAATTTTCAGCACAGTACATTTATCAAAAGTAGGGATGAAGTCTGTTATTTTTGCCTAACATTTTGGAAGGATAATAACAGTTGAAATCATCTGATGAAAAATAAAAGTTGTCTTTTCTCTTAATAACACTCCAGACAAAATTTCACCTCCTGATGAACATTTTTTTATCTTTGATTCTGAGAAACCTTTCCTCAAGCCCAACTTGCTACTTTTTTATGGCATTGTGCTTATTTCCTACCTGCTGCATAGGTGCTTAACTCAATTTGGCAAATGAGAAGCAGAAACTTTTGAATACCTGCCATGAAATCTTCCAAGCAAAACTTCTGTGAGTCTGCAAAAATTTAATGAAACTTTCCTGGTCTGCAAAAAGTTTTGGGACTTCGCTGGTCCGAAAATATTTTTATGGAAATTTGCTGGTCCACTTGCCCAAAAAGGTTTGGGAACACTGCTCTAGATTTGCTGTATAGAGGTGAATGTTACACAAAAGAGGCAATTTCTTTGCTGAACCTGATTATTTTGCAGGAAGTTTGACACCTCCCATCAACTACTACCGCAACATTGATTTCGGATCTACGGACGTGACNAGCAGCTATAGTGGAATGTCTTCAAAAATGTAGGAAGGTGGGCTTGTCTGCTAAATTTAGAATGGTTTCTCTGAAGGAAAAAAAATTTTTTCAGCAGCTGCAAATTTTTCTGATGTGTTATTGTGAGAAAAGGGAACTTTACTTTTAAGCAGAAACTTTCAACTTCGATTGTCCTTCCAAAATTATAGATAAGAATGACAGACTTCATCGCTACTTTTGATAAATTTAATATGCTGAAGAAAAGTTCCTGCAGACTGGCAACAAAAAAGTCTGCACACTCCCGCTGTTCCATGGACCATGGGATGGGGAACTTTGCTCTAGAAAAGTGTTCCCCTATACCTGTGGTCCACTGACTGGTGACAATTTGCTGAAGTTTTTTGCTGTTCTGTGGGAAATTTTCAGCACAGTACATTTATCAAAAGTAAGGATGAAGTCTGTTATTTTTGCCTAATATTTTGGAAAGATAATAACAGTTGAAATCATCTGATGAAAAATAAAAGTTGGCTTTTCTCTTAATAACACTCCAGACAAAATTTCACCTCCTGAAAAACATTTTTAATCTTTTATTCTGAGAAACCTTTCCTCAAGCCCAACTTGCTAATTTTTTTATGACATTATGCTTATTTCCTACCTGCTGCATAGGTGCTTAACTCAATTTGGCAAATGAGAAGCAGAAACTTTTGAATACCTGCCATGAAATCTTCCGAGCAAAACTTCTGTGAGTCTGCAAAAATTTAATGAAACTTTCCTGGTCTGCAAAAAGTTTTGGGACTTCGCTGGTCCGAAAATATTTTTATGGAAATTTGCTGGTCCACTTGCCCAAAAAGGTTTGGGAACACTGCTCTAGAATTTTGCTGTATAGAGGTGAATGTTACACAAAAGAGGCAATTTCTTTGCTGAACCTGATTATTTTGCAGGAAGTTTGACACCTCCCATCAACTACTACCGCAACATTGATTTCGGATCTACGGACGTGACAAACACGAAAGTAGAGGTGCCAACTCTGCTTCTTTGGGGCACGAGTGACGCGGCATTGAGCGAGGAAACAGCTGATGCGACTCGTAACTACGTAAAGGACTTCAGGCTTAAAAAGTTGGACGGTGTGACTCACTGGATCAACCAAGATGCTCCCACGCAAGTGAACAAAGCAGTGGGCGAGTTCCTACGCGAAAGAGCCGAATGATTCCTTTTTTTTTCCCAGGGGATAGGGATTTGAGCTGTGCGACTGACCAGAAAGTTCCCTGTAGCTGTGGTTTGGAATAACGGTTTCAAAAAGTAGGATTATGCTAAGATGTTTTTTATTTTATTTTGGTGATGCAGTCTAGGATAACAATAGGTCACGCACGTTTTTTTTTTTTTGCGACGCAAAACTCACTCTCGTTCCCCAAGATTTTGCAAACATGTCTATCGGAAAGAAATTCCTTCCCCTTTATCTGACACAATGATTGCTTATACAGTATATGCCAATGATTTGATCTCGAATAAATGCTGCATTTTTCTTCGCCGTTCTACATACTGAAAGACACAAATCCTTCTCAAATTTGGCGTTACTGTATATACAACGCTATCTGATCGATCATGTGCGAATATAAATTTCATGCTATTCGTAATATTTTGGTCAGATATTCGCATTTTCTGCGTATAATGAAGTAGGAATTTGTCTACACAAATTAACTTTTAGGTTAAAAATTAACTTTTTAATATTTCTTCAGGCTTTCAAAAACATTTAGATGTGCGAATATTTTTTTGGAAGTCTGCAATTCAGTTTGAATTCTTCGCAATTTTTTTTGTCAGTTCGACCAGATGGAATTTTTTAAATCTATTTATTTCTTGATATCTTGAATAGGAAGTTCAGCAAGGAACTCGCTTCTCCAACGACGAATGCGATAGTTTTTCTTGCGTTTCGCTCTTCTCATAGCAATCACGGAGGCAATTTTTCGAAGCGATATTTCAGGAAAACCTCAATGCTCTGTAACATTATTCAGTTTCAATAATTATTTGGATGTAGAGCTTCATCTTTTTTTCCGTCTCTACCTGAATATTCAAGCGATTAATCTGCTTTTCCAACACGGAATAAAAACATGATTATTTCCGGAGTTTCGCTGATGATTTTAACTTCATAAAAGCTTGTAATTCGTGTAAATTAATGGCTGAGGAAACTTTCTGGTCAGCCAAAGAAGGGCGTTTGGATTTTGTTGGCGTTGCGTGGATTTTTCCCATGCAAAATACGCCGACACGTGTAACCCCGTTTGTCTTGACTCTTTCACTGTATCCACGAACATTGTTGTGAATTAGAACGCATGACGCTGTGTTCATCAAAATTAATGCGACCATGTTTACAAAGGCTCTGTGAAAATCATCCGTCTGAGTCATAAAATGGCTTATATGTCGAAATCCAGTTCGTTTCTGGATTGCCTTTTTTTCATTCACGTGCCAACTATTTGCATCGGTCGATTGCGATGCACAAGTTATACCAGCAATTTCCCTTTTTTGATGCGACCAGGTGTTCACTTCAATGACCGCGAGGTTAAATAAAAACTACGATAAATAACTGACCGGGTAAGACGTTTATCCATGTTTGGTTGAACAACTAGCTGTTGCACAAAATCCTATGCAGTGTACCGTGAAATCGGGATTCTCATTTCAAAATAGTATTAGCTAGAACAAAGGGGAGAAAAACGTATAGTGAAAAGGAGAGAAGATCTGTTTTGTACACATGAAAAGCTAGATTCCTTTTTAATAGAGCCAAATATACTGTATTCGGTTATTATTTGTGAAACGTGTTGTCAAATGATTTTCACCAGCCAGGTTTTACGTGCAGAATTTCGGCAGCCTTTTTTTAAAAAGAACATTACGGAAACGTTTTGCGGACCGATGAAAATTAAGATGAGGAAAAATTTCGGGTTTGCACTCAAGCTTTGAAAGGTCTCAGACATGCTGTAGAAAAGTGAATGTGAGCCACGTCATTGGACTCATGTGCTTTTTTTTCTTCTAAGGAATCTGAACACTTCATTACTTCGCTGTCTTCTGTATAGGCGAGGAGGTGAGCAGTGGTTTCGTCATTTCATTCAATGATTGAGAATTTTTATTTTGCAATCGTTTTTTAACAAAATGAAGAAGTAAGAAACCGGCCTCGTACACAGATTGCGAAAGACTTCCAGGTGTCTGTTTTAGTCCGTGTGTTTGCTAATCCTCGCAGTGATTTTTTTCCCTTCTTGAAAGCACATGTAACCGCTAATGCCTGGTCAAAAAATTATCTTCATTTCTGCAGTAAGAAAAATAGGCTTTCCGTCGTTTGAAGTTTTTTTTTTACATAGAAAACATGAAGGGAGAAGAAACTGTTATGAACATATGGCACAGTTTCAGATATTTTTAGAGTTTGTCTCCTTGTGATTATATTTCCATGAGAACACGACCTTTTCACCGATCAAACAATATGTAACTGCACTGTTTTTTTGTTTGAAAAAAAAGAGTAGTATGTTTATAATTTTATGCAAGGTATTTCCATTTTAACAGTATTTTCTGCACAGAAAACAGGAAGAGAGAAAATACTGTCTTGATCGCATGGGTCGGTTTTAGTTGTCTCTCGAGGTCAATTGCATAATTGCAATTTTTTAAACTCTATTTCCGCGAATTATAAGAAAAGAAAGAAGGAAGAAGCTGCTGTCTTGAACACATGGAACACGTGGTTATGATTTTTTAGAGACCACCTGATTCTTGCAATCCGCGTGATTTCATTTTTATAGAGAGAAAAAAAAACACTTGACAACTTCGCTAAGCAATCGGACACTAAATACGTTCATTCATTTCTAGGGATTTTGTAAGTTTCGTACTTCACTTCGCAATCATTTCATCGGCCTTCCGTTCTTCACCAACAATCGGATTTCTTCAGTTTTGTAACTTCCTCTCATCCTGAAAGGGCTCATTCATACTTATTTCGTTTAGTGCCATTAATATGCAAGAACCTGCGACTGCGGAAGGGATAGTGAGTGCCATATGGTCCAGAGTGGCGGGAAAGAAACCGCTTCAGGTCTTGCTTCGGAAAAAGTTAAAAATAAGAGAAAGAATAAAATAAAACTTGCACGCGGAGACGAGAAAAGGTCCTTCAGCAACAATCCTTATACATTGTGGAATCACCAGCAGCAGCAGCAGCAGCTCTCATCATTCGGCCAAGCAGCAGAGAGAGCAATATACATGCATATGAGGACTCCATTCCGGGAGAATTCCATCTCTGATGTGCAGCTAGCAGGAGAATCTGGAAGTTTCTTGCTGCATGGTCTCGGCTTTTACTCTCTGATTTACGCCGTGTCTCGTTGGGCAATCACTCTCCCTCTCTGTCCGTTGTTTCTCGTCCGACGTCCGAGCAGGATATGGCTTGAGGTATGCAGCCCAAGGCAAAAAGTGGTTACAGTACAGGCGCGGTCCTTGGCGCGGGTGCAAAGCGTGGGTGAACATTTCTCTCGCCCACATCACTCGGCATTATTTATTTATTCTTCTTCTGATGCTGCCTTCCTCGCTCTCCTTCTCCCTCTCTCTCTCTCTTTCTTTCTCGCTGTACAGCTGTGGGCTGAATCTTGGACTTTAGTTCACTCACCTGGGAAGCGTGGGACTGTTATTCAAGTTTCTACCGTTTTGAACTGCTGAAATGATATTTAGTCTAGATATGTTATCCGCGAATAATGTACCTTTCAAAAATGTGCAGCTCCTTTTTGAAAAGGGAAAAAACTTAATCAACTGAAGCCACCATTCATAAAATGTAGTATATTTTTAGGATTTTGGTTTTAAAATTAACATCAAACCCCGGTATGGGTCGTAGACTTCAGTTCACTGACCTTGAAAGCGTGGGACTGTTGTTCAAGTTTCCACCATTTTGAACTGCTGAAATTATCGTTAGTCTTGATAAATAATCTGCGATTAATTCATTGTTTAAAAATGCACCATTCCTCTTTGAAAAAGGAGAAATGACAAAAAAATAAACTTGACCAGCTGAAATACACCCTTCATAAAGTATATGTTTACTTGTTCAGGATTTTGGTTTAAAAATTAATATCAAAGCCCNAAACCCCGGTATGGGTCGTAGACTTCAGTTCACTGACCTTGAAAGCGTGGGACTGTTGTTCAAGTTTCCACCATTTTGAACTGCTGAAATTATCGTTAGTCTTGATAAATAATCTGCGATTAATTCATTGTTTAAAAATGCACCATTCCTCTTTGAAAAAGGAGAAATGACAAAAAAATAAACTTGACCAGCTGAAATACACCCTTCATAAAGTATATGTTTACTTGTTCAGGATTTTGGTTTAAAAATTAATATCAAAGCCCGGGTTGAGCCTTAGACTTCAACTCACCCATGTGAAGCTTGGGAGTGCTATTCAAGTTTTAACAATTTTCAAGTGCTGAAATGGTCCTAACGAAGCACGGGGCTTGTTCTAAATTTGGAAAAAAGAACACAAATTTAACTTCCTGAGCTGAAAGGGCCCTAATTTCACTAAAACTTCAGGTTTTTAATCTAAAAATGTATGTTATATCGCTGCTTAGACTTAAGTTCATTCACATTTAAAGAATGAGAATGCTTTTCAAGTTTCCATTATTTTGAATCGCTGTTTTGGTCCTTGATCTTAATTTTTAATGCTGCAAATACTTATGAAAAATGCTCGCATTTGATCAGACAAGCTCATACTTCCTCAACTAAAAATGCCCGTCACATTAAACATATCTTCAGGCTTTCAGTTTAAAAATTAATGTCGAATTTTTTGTGATATGATTACCTATACAGACCAATAAAAAAGGTTTGTCAAGGGACCCTGGATAGTTTCTTTCCAATGAATTTCGTACAAAAATAATAACAGCTTATGACAATTCTCCATCATTTGATTCCTACCATATACTAAGCCACCCAAATGCAAGGGTCATCCATAATTACATATAACCTTTAATTACCGGTAGAATAAATAAGAATAAATTCTTGTGGGCCCATCACTGTGTAACTTGTCTGCAAGTTTTCTGGTTAATTACCTACTGCCATGTTTCCAGTTTAAAATTTTCAACTTCCTCCAGAGTACGCATTTGTAATTCCATTGCTTCCTTTGAAATAAAATTGAACTAAAATATGTTTTATTATTATTATGTTCTCATCTAAGTTACAGGAAAACAATAAATACCCCGTTGTTTTTATGGCTGAAA